TTCCGGGATCTAAGTGTGGTTTCGACCACTCGTAGCTTTACGTAAACTGGATATAACTCAATTTTTCTCTACTACATAACACTGGGATCGATTTTAAGATTTTGGAACATAAACAAAAGATTATAAAAATTGAATCTAGTGAAGAGGAGTCCTTCGTGTTAGTTATATATGCATTCTCTGCTTGAAACTTAAAGTAAATATGTCTTTTATGATAGTAGAATTAGTTTTATAATAGCAAGATATTATACCCGTAGTTATTAAGTAAATAAACACTGGTGAACATGAAATATGAGAGAAGGTGATGAGCCCTGCCTGATGGGATCATTTACTATCACCAAATGCCCCTGTTCACCTAGTAGTAAGGGTGTACCTTAGCTATACATACCCATTTCTAATTTATTTAGTTTGGTTTTATTTTGAAATTAAATCTGGGTGAGACATAAAATAAAAATATGCTGCACAAATGATGTTAGGTAAGGAGAAGGGTAAAAATGTCAAAAACTTTATTCATTGAATACTTAAAGCTATAATTATGACTATATAGACTATTAAAAAAGAGAGAGGGAAGTAGGGGTCCAAGACCTCTTCCTGTTATACAATTTGGGTGTGGAACAAGTAATTATCAAAAGAAGGCACCATGCCGGGAAGGCTATGTAGCAGTAAGGCAGTGAGGTGAGGCAGCTACTTATTTGAGAAATGCTTATTTTATTTACCTTATAAGCTGAGGCAACTTATTTTATTTGAGGAATACTCAGCTGATTCCTCTACATTTAGCATGGAACAAATTTGTGTCCAAGACCTCTTCCTGTTACACAATTTGGCTGTGTGTAACCAAACTAGAAGTGCTCTACAAATCAAGGGACCCAGAATGTGGAATGACCTCCCGAATCATGTCAAAGGCTGTACCTCTCTCAACCAGTTTAAGAGTTAAACCAAGTACTGCCTAATTAACTCCATGTAACCTAACTTACCTCCTAAATGTCAACCCATGTCTTGCTATTTTTTAAACAACGCTGTTCACCAACATGTGCAATTGCTGATTTATGCTATGTTAACCCCCCTTTTTGTATTTTTTATTCCTTCTTTCAACACAATTTATACCTAATCCCGATTACTATTAAGTTTTAGTCTGTGTTTTTTCCCCCACACCTTGCCCGAAATGCTATGAGTATTAGTGGCTTTAGGTATTGTATGTACTAGCTCTGTCTATAAATCCAACATTATGTTTGTAAATCAACTGTATGTACTTTTCCTGAATAAAATGTATTTATTATTTATTTTTTAATCAGTAAGTATTAAAAGAAGGCACCAAGCTGGGAAGGCTATGTAGCACCATTGTGTGTAACAATAAACCAATTTTTTTTTTAACAAATAATGCACCTGTATGGTAAAACAAATCCTGTCAGCTGTAAAAATATTGATGCAGTTATTTAAATGAAAAATATAATGAAAGAAATATTACTGGTTTATTTTTATCCTATCTTTTTGTACTGTACAGTATATCCAAGGAAGTGAAAAATTGAGACATAATGCACAATTTAATGAATGATTAGCATGGATTAGCAGTTCAAAAGAAATATGACTATTACATATCAACATGAGATCTTAATGATCCATGGTCAACATGATTTAATAAGGATAATACAGTACTGTATTTGTAATAATACAAACTATAATTTAAAATCTTTATTACTGATTTTTTTTATTAAGAAGATTAGGTATACACAGCAATGTGCTGCTACCCTATTCTATATGGAATATTACACAGTGTAGATAAAAAACTAGCTATAAGTTTATCTAATACTCCCATCTCACAGGATGGTTAGACATACTGTACATGGAATCAATTTAGAAAATACCAGCCTCAATACAAAAAACAAATCAACTCTGACTAAACAACTCTTCGCGATTTTCACAAGAGGTAAGCACTGAATCATGGAAACATTATATTATAATTACTCTTACCAGTTTCTACAAGACTCCTCTCAAACAATGTATTTTTAAACATGTTTAGGTATACACAGCAATGTGCTGCTTCCCTATTCTGTATAAAGGACCACACAGTGTAGATCAAAAACCAGCTACAAGCTCATCCAACATCCTCACCTCACAGGATGGCCAGTCATACATGGAATTAGGAGAGAACAAAATACTTAATGCTGATCTATTAGCCTCCACTGGCAAAATCTGGGTGCAGCACAAGAATATCTTCCAATATTCCTGAGTGTATGAAGTAATTACAGAGCTCAAAATACCTCATACCATTTGGTATGAAGTCACTGATAACAGGGCAATCACAGATATAGTGTTGGAGAGTATGTTCTCTCAAGTAGGACTGAAAACAGATGTTTTTTTCCACCAAGAGGGCTATAAACCCATGGAACCGCCTACCCGCTGAAGCCGTAAATGCCAAATTCCAGCTAAAAAATATCATTAAGACAATTGGCGGGCCCTTTAACAAGCCGCCGGCTTTCTGTCCTCTTCGAGGCCACTAGATAGTTAGTGGCCCTTGGGTAAATTCAGTAAATATATACAATAATTGTCAGCGCATCTTCCGAGCAACAAGGACAGCTACACAGTATCTCTTAGAATTACGTAGGTAAACAACAAATGTAACATATTTGTTTACTACAATGTCGGTGCTGGCTGTAGAAGTTGAAAAAACATTGTTTTACTTCGAAATATACTAATTTTATAAGAAAATTCGACGTAAATAGGAGGCAGTAGAGCTCCGATAAGCCAGCGCTAAATCTTCAATATGAAGAATGTTGCTGCTCTCTGATTGGCCAAACGAAACACAGTAGTGACCTCTATCGGCACGCAGGTGAACCAACAAATTTCTTCCTAAGTGGACGTTATTGAATTGCACCTAAGCATCTTCTTAGGGCACACTTAGGAACCTTCGTAGCAAACCCACTTACGAAGAAATACACAGAGCTTCCTGAATCTAGGTCCTGAGTATCTTAAGATAAGCATCTTATTGCTTCGTAATTACAATTATTACTTAACCTATACCTATTATAGGTTAGGTAATAATTGTAATTACGAAGCAATAAGATGCTTATTTTAAGATACTAACAAGGTTAGGTAAGGTCAGTGTTTTCTATGAATCTTTTTAAGGGTATCTATTATGTTAAGTATGTCACCTATGCACATATTTAATAAGTCAATATTGACTTATTAAATTTGCGAGAACGGGTTGCTGTGTATCTGTTCTGCCCTTTTCGCAGTTTCATCACTTGTTCCTTCACTGCTGTTTTCCTCCTGATGTGGCTGTGGAGCAGCTTTGGTTGGGTCTTGGCTTTACTCGCGATGTCAGTTCATACTGTCTCTGCTTCCCTCCTCACTCTGATGTACTCATTTCTGGCCCTCTGGTATCTCTCCCTGCTCTCTGGTGTTCTGTTATTCCTGTAGTTTCTCAAATGCTTCGCTACCTTACATACATGGTTGAACCATGGATTCTTCTGCTGCTTTCCATTTTTCTCCATTTCAGCCAGGATAAACCTGTGTGCAGCTTCCTGGCACTTCTGGGTGACATAATCCATCATATCCTGTACATTCTTCTCTCTGAGTTCTGTTTCCCATGGTATTCCCATTAGGAAGTTCCTCATCTCGTCATATTTTCCACTTCAGTAATTTAGTCTTTTCCCTTCCGATCCCATCCCAGGATAGGTTATCCCTTCCTCCACCAGATACTCAAATATCAATACACTGTGGTCACTCATTCCTATGGGGGCCTCAAATTTGACTTCTCTTATTTCTGACTCATTCAAGGTGAATACCAGGTCGACTCTAGCTGTTTCGTCATTGTCTCTCATTCTTGTGGGTCTCTTGACATATTGGCTCAGAAAGTTCCTTGTTGCCACTTCCAAGAGTTTAGCTCTCCATGTATCTTCACCACCATGTGGGTCCCCATTCTCCCAGTCTATCTTTCCATGGTTGAAATTGTCCATGATTAAGAGTCTGGAGCCATTCCTGCAGGCAAGTGAAGCTGCTCTCTCTATTATATTATTGGTTGCCATGTTGTTTCTGTCGAACTCCTGTCTGGGTCTTCTGTCATTTAGTAGAAGGATGCAAATGACTGTCACTATAATCTTAGATCCACCCATTGTCATAGTTCGTATTATGTAATCTCTGAACCTGTCACAGCCCGGAATTTCCGTCTCATCAAAACTTCAGTCTTTCCTTATTAGCAGGACCACTCCTCCTCCTCTCCCTTCCCTCTCTTTCCTTACTATATAAAAGTCCTTTGGAAACACAGCATTGTATATGACTCCTGACAATTTTGTTTCTGTGAGTCTTATTACATCCGGGTTTTCTTCCTGCGCCCGTTCTGCCAGTTCAATTTTTTTTTTTTTTGAGATATATACAAGAGTTGTTACATTCTTGTAGAGCCACTAGTACGCGTAGCGTTTCGGGCAAGTCCTTAATCCTATGGTCCCTGGAATACGATCCCCGCCGCGAAGAATCGTTGTTTCATCCAAGTACACATTTTACTGTTGCGTTAAACAGAGGCTACAGTTAAGGAATTGCGCCCAGTAAATCCTCCCCGGCCAGGATACGAACCCATGACATAGCGCTCGCGGAACGCCAGGCGAGTGTCTTACCACTACACCACGGAGACTGTGAGACAATTGCTTTGTTTATTATGTGTACTCACCTAGTTGTGCTTGTGGGGGGTTGAGCTCTGGCTCTTTGGTCCCTCCTCTCAACTGTCAATCAACTGGTGTACAGGTTCCTGAGCCTACTGGGCTCTATCATATCTACATTTGAATCTGTGTTTGGAGTCAGCCTCCACTACATAACTTACAAGTGCATTCCACCTGTTAACTACTCTGACACTGAAAAAGTTCTTTCTAACATCCCTGTGGCTCATTTGGGTGCTCAATTTCCACCTGTGTCCCCTTGTTCGCGTACCACCCGTGTTAAACAGTTTATCCTTTTCAACCCTGTCAATTGCTCTGAGAATTTTGTAGGTAGTGATCATGTCTCCCCTTACTCTTCTGTCTTCCAGTGTCGTGAGGTGCATTTCCCGCAGCCTTTCCAAAGAGTTATGCTCTTAAAACTACCACAAGGACCCTTGCATCTTGTCATCAGCAAGACTGTTCAATACAGTTTTATACACCAATCCTCGCGACGTTGAATACAAGACAGACACACTAACGCTTGTGTCTACCGTGAGTGAAGACTCTGTGCCTGAAGGTATATGAATGTGTAGAGTACTATAGAGTACTATAGTACTCTACAGAACTCTATTACTCTAGAGAGGTAACGACTGATAACAAGGACTTGAGTGGGAATGGTTTTCGAGTGGATATCTTCTAAGCGTGCGTGCGCACGGGCTCGCGCCTCCACCTGGTCTCCAAGGCGCCGTCTCCTCCCACACCTCTTGAGCCTCTTATATAAGACAGAGGGAGAGGAGAGCTCGGCCATTACGCTCTCTCCTCTCCCGGGCCTCACCTCTCCTCTTCCTCCTCTCTCACCCAGTCAGCCACTGGCAGCCAACAGGTAAGGTCTCTCCCGCCCCTCCCTCTAGTGGAGCCCTCTAGTGGTTCCCAGGCGCTCTAGTGGTTCCCAGGTGCTCTAGTGGTTCCCAGGTGCTCTAGTGGTTCCCAGGTGCTCTAGTGGTTCCCAGGTGCTCTAGTGATCTCCAGGCGCTCTAGTGGTTCCCTGGGGCTCTAGTGGTTCCCAGGTGCTCTAGTGGTTCCCAGGTGCTCTAGTGGTTCCCAGGTGCTCTAGTGGTTCCCCAGGTGCTCTAGTGGTTCCCTGGTGCTCTAGTGGTTCCCTGGTGCTCTAGTGGTTCCCAGGTGCTCTAGTGGTTCCCTGGTGCTCTAGTGGTTCCCAGGTGCTCTAGTGGTTCCCTGGGGCTCTAGTGGTTCCCTCGTGCTCTAGTGGTTCCCAGGTGCTCTAGTGGTTCCCAGGCGCTCTAGTGGTTCCCAGGCGCTCTAGTGGTTCCCAGGCGCTCTAGTGGTTCCCAGGCGCTCTAGTGGTTCCCAGGTGCTCTAGTGGTTCCCAGGCGCTCTAGTGGTTCCCAGGCGCTCTAGTGGTTCCCAGGCGCTCTAGTGGTTCCCAGGTGCTCTAGTGGTTCCCAAGGGCTCTAGTGGTTCCCAGGGGCTCTAGTGGTGCCCAGGCGCTCTAATGGTTCCCCTGGCGCTCTAGTGGTTTCCAGGTGCTCTAGTGGTTCCCAGGGGCTCTAGTGGTTCCCAGGTGCTCTAGTGGTTCCCAGGTGCTCTAGTGGTTCCCCTGGCGCTCTAGTGGTTCCCAGGTGCTCTAGTGGTTCCCTGGTGCTCTAGTGGTTCCCAGGTGCTCTAGTGGTTCCCAGGTGCTCTAGTGGTTCCCAGGTGCTCTAGTGGTTCCCTGGTGCTCTAGTGGTTCCCTGGTGCTCTAGTGGTTCCCTGGTGCTCTAGTGGTTCCCAGGCGCTCTAGTGGTTCCCAGGTGCTCTAGTGGTTCCCAGGCGCTCTAGTGGTTCCCTGAGGCTCTAGTGGTTCCCAGGTGCTCTAGTGGTTCCCAGGCGCTCTAGTGGTTCCCTGAGGCTCTAGTGGTTCCCCTGGCGCTCTAGTGGTTCCCAGGCGCTCTAGTGGTTCCCAGGCGCTCTAGTGGTTCCCAGGCGCTCTAGTGGTTCCCAGGCGCTCTAGTGGTTCCCCTGGCGCTCTAGTGGTTCCCAGGCGCTCTAGTGGTTCCCTGGCGCTCTAGTGGTTCCCAGGCGCTCTAGTGGTTCCCAGGCGCTCTAGTGGTTCCCAGGCGCTCTAGTGGTTCTCCTGGCGCTCTAGTGGTTCCCTGGCGCTCTAGTGGTTCCCTGGCGCTCTAGTGGTTCCCAGGCGCTCTAGTGGTTCCCAGGCGCTCTAGTGGTTCCCTGGCGCTCTAGTGGTTCCCTGGCGCTCTAGTGGTTCCCAGGCGCTCTAGGGGGGACCCTCACACCCCCCCCCTGGATGCAGCCACCCACAACAGTTTACTAACTCCCGGGTACCTATTTCCTGCTAGGTGAACAGAGGCATGAGGTGATAGCAAACGCGCACAGCCATTTTCTCGTCCCGGGTAGGGATTCGAACCCAGGATTCCCGATGGTGGATCGAGAACAAACCCAGCTGCCCTACTGGTAAATATCTGTCGGTGGAACGTTTGAAATCGAACTGTTGAGGCCTAATCCTTCACAGTGTGTACCTTTTTTCGAACACTTACCGCCAGAAAATGGAACAGTAGCGAGGCAACTCTCAGTAGGCGGTCGGGAGAGCCGGTCAGCCGAGCGGACAGCACGCTGGACTTGTGATCCTGTGGTCCTGGGTTCGATCCCAGGCGCCGGCGAGAAACAATGGGTAGAGTTTTTTTTCACCCTATACCCCTGTTACCTAGCAGTAAAATAGGTACCTGGGTGTTAGTCAGCTGTCACGGGCTGCTTCCTTGGGGTGGAGGCCTGGTCGAGGACCGGGCCGCGGGGACACTAAAGCCCCGAAATCATCTCAAGATAACCTCAAGATAAGGTAGAAGCTGAAGTGCATTAAATCGAGCCTAGATTTATGAAGCGTTTGTGCCGCCTCTGACGAAACCTGTTCATCCCTCCTTCATCATGGCGGCCGTGTTGACATTTACTCAACAGTTCACGGGTTTGTAAACTTCACAACCCCGAGGTTGTTATTGTTGTTGTAAACAACCTCGTGGCCCTTCAGAGCTCGTAAACTCTTTGATGTAAACAATGTCGCTGTCACTGAGGGAAGATGCAGAGGTTTCGTTACTGGTTGATGCTTTCCTGAGTCATGTATAAATTTCCCCTATTTATACGTCCTCGGGGTAGGTTAGTACTTCATTTTAGGGCCGTTGGGAACGCTGGAGAGGATGGGCTGGTCTGGGAGGCTCTTTGTGGCTCTCTCAGGTTGTAGGAGGACAGGTTGTGGGAGGACAGGTTGTAGGAGGACAGGTTGTGGGAGGATAGATTGTAGGAGGACAGGTTGTAGGAGGACAGGTTGTAGGAGGACAGGTTGTAGGAGGACAGGCTGTAGGAGGACAGGTTGTGGGAGGACAGGTTGTGGGAGGACAGGTTGTGGGAGGACAGGTTGGAGGAGGACAGATTGTGGGAGGACAGGTTGTAGGAGGACAGGCTGTAGGAGGACAGGCTGTAGGAGGACAGGCTGTAGGACAGGTTGTAGGAGGACAGGTTGTAGGAGGACAGGTTGTAGGAGGACAGGTTGTGGGAGGACAGGTTGGAGGAGGACAGATTGTGGGAGGACAGGTTGTAGGAGGACAGGCTGTAGGAGGACAGGTTGTAGGAGGACAGGTTGTAGGAGGACAGGTTGTAGGAGGACAGGTTGTATGAGGACAGGTTGTAGGAGGACAGGTTGTAGGAGGATAGGTTGTAGGAGGATAGGTTGTAGGAGGACAGGTTGTAGGAGGACAGGCTGTAGGAGGACAGGTTGTAGGAGGACAGGTTGTAGGAGGACAGGTTGTAGGACAGGTTGTAGGACAGGTTGTGGGAGGACAGGTTGTAGGAGGACAGGTTGTAGGACAGATTGTAGGACAGGTTGTAGGAGGACAGGTTGTAGGAGGACAGGTTGGAGGAAGACAGGTTGTAGGAGGACAGGTTGTAGGAGGACAGGTTGTAGGAGGACAGGTTGTGGGAGGACAGGTTGTAGGAGGACAGGTTGTGGGAGGACAGGTTGTAGGAGGACAGGTTGTAGGACAGATTGTAGGACAGGTTGTAGGAGGACAGGATGTAGGAGGACAGGTTGTAGGAGGACAGGTTGTAGGAGGACAGGATGTAGGAGGACAGGTTGTAGGACAGGTTGTAGGAGGACAGGATGTAGGAGGACAGGTTGTAGGACAGGTTGTAGGACAGGATGTAGGATAGGTTGTAGGAGGACAGGTTGTAGGAGGACAGGTTGTAGGAGGACAGGTTGTAGGAGGACAGGTTGTAGGACAGATTGTAGGAGGACAGGTTGAAGGAGGACAGGTTGTGGGAGGACAGGTTGTGGGAGGACAGGTTGTAGGAGGATAGGTTGTAGGAAGACAGGTTGTAGGAGGACAGGTTGTAGGAGGACAGGCTGTAGGAGGACAGGCTGTAGGAGGACAGGTTGTAGGAGGACAGGTTGTAGGAGGACAGGTTGTAGAAGGACAAGTTGTGGGAGGACAGGTTGTAGGAGGACAGGTTGTAGGAGGACAGGTTGTAGGACAGGTTGTAGGACAGATTGTAGGAGGACAGGTTGTAGGAGGACAGGATGTAGGAGGACAGGTTGTAGGAGGACAGGTTGTAGGAGGACAGGTTGTAGGAGGACAGGTTGTAGGAGGACAGGTTGTAGGAGGACAGGATGTAGGAGGACAGGATGTAGGAGGACAGGTTGTAGGAGGACAGGCTGTAGGAGGACACGTTGTAGGAGGACAGGTTGTAGGAGGACAGGTTGTAGGAGGACAGGTTGTGGGAGGACAGGTTGTAGGAGGACAGGTTGTAGGAGGACAGGTTGTAGGAGGACAGGTTGTAGGACAGGTTGTAGGAGGACAGGTTGTAGGAGGACAGGTTGTAGGACAGGTTGTAGGAGGACAGGTTGTAGGACAGGTTGTAGGAGGACAGGTTGTGGGAGGACAGGTTGTAGGACAGGTTGTAGGACAGGATGTAGGAGGACAGGTTGTAGGACAGATTGTAGGAGGACAGGTTGTAGGAGGACAGGTTGTAGGACAGGCTGTAGGAGGACAGGTTGTAGGACAGATTGTACGAGGACAGGTTGTAGGAGGACAGACTGTAGGAGGACAGGCTGTAGGAGGACAGGTTGTAGGAGGACAGGTTGTAGGAGGACAGGTTGTAGGAGGACAGGTTGTAGGAGGACAGGTTGTAGGAGGACAGGTTGTAGGAGGACAGGTTGTAGGAGGACAGGTTGTAGGACAGGTTGTAGGAGGACAGGTTGTAGGAGGACAGGTTGTAGGACAGGCTGTAGGAGGACAGGTTGTAGGACAGATTGTACGAGGACAGGTTGTAGGAGGACAGGCTGTAGGAGGACAGGCTGTAGGAGGACAGGTTGTAGGAGGACAGGCTGTAGGAGGACAGGATGTAGGAGGACAGGTTGTAGGAGGACAGGTTGTAGGACAGGATGTAGGAGGACAGGTTGTAGGACAGGTTGTAGGAGGACAGGATGTAGGAGGACAGGTTGTAGGACAGGTTGTAGGACAGGATGTAGGATAGGTTGTAGGAGGACAGGTTGTAGGAGGACAGGTTGTAGGAGGACAGGTTGTAGGAGGACAGGTTGTAGGACAGATTGTAGGAGGACAGGTTGAAGGAGGACAGGTTGTGGGAGGACAGGTTGTGGGAGGACAGGTTGTAGGAGGATAGGTTGTAGGAAGACAGGTTGTAGGACAGGTTGTAGGAGGACAGGCTGTAGGAGGACAGGCTGTAGGAGGACAGGTTGTAGGAGGACAGGTTGTAGGAGGACAGGTTGTAGAAGGACAAGTTGTGGGAGGACAGGTTGTAGGAGGACAGGTTGTAGGAGGACAGGTTGTAGGACAGGTTGTAGGACAGATTGTAGGAGGACAGGTTGTAGGAGGACAGGATGTAGGAGGACAGGTTGTAGGAGGACAGGTTGTAGGAGGACAGGTTGTAGGAGGACAGGTTGTAGGAGGACAGGTTGTAGGAGGACAGGATGTAGGAGGACAGGATGTAGGAGGACAGGTTGTAGGAGGACAGGCTGTAGGAGGACACGTTGTAGGAGGACAGGTTGTAGGAGGACAGGTTGTAGGAGGACAGGTTGTGGGAGGACAGGTTGTAGGAGGACAGGTTGTAGGAGGACAGGTTGTAGGAGGACAGGTTGTAGGACAGGTTGTAGGAGGACAGGTTGTAGGAGGACAGGTTGTAGGACAGGTTGTAGGAGGACAGGTTGTAGGAGGACAGGTTGTAGGAGGACAGGTTGTGGGAGGACAGGTTGTAGGACAGGTTGTAGGACAGGATGTAGGAGGACAGGTTGTAGGACAGATTGTACGAGGACAGGTTGTAGGAGGACAGGTTGTAGGACAGGCTGTAGGAGGACAGGTTGTAGGACAGATTGTACGAGGACAGGTTGTAGGAGGACAGGCTGTAGGAGGACAGGCTGTAGGAGGACAGGTTGTAGGAGGACAGGTTGTAGGAGGACAGGTTGTAGGAGGACAGGTTGTAGGAGGACAGGTTGTAGGAGGACAGGTTGTAGGAGGACAGGTTGTAGGAGGACAGGTTGTAGGAGGACAGGTTGTAGGACAGATTGTAGGAGGACAGGTTGTAGGAGGACAGGTTGTAGGACAGGCTGTAGGAGGACAGGTTGTAGGACAGATTGTACGAGGACAGGTTGTAGGAGGACAGGCTGTAGGAGGACAGGCTGTAGGAGGACAGGTTGTAGGAGGACAGGTTGTAGGAGGACAGGTTGTAGGAGGACAGGTTGTAGGAGGACAGGTTGTAGGAGGACAGGTTGTAGGAGGACAGGTTGTAGGAGGACAGGATGTAGGAGGACAGGATGTAGGAGGACAGGTTGTAGGAGGACAGGTTGTAGGAGGACAGGTTGTAGGAGGACCCGTTGATGTATGTTAAGTTGTGATCACACACGTACTACGCTGCCTACTCTGCTAAAATATGTAACCTACTCTATAAAATACAATAGGTAGCTGTCTGTCTCAATGTCTCTGTCAATCAGTCTGTCTGTCAATTAGTCTGTCTGGCGTTCCATGGTGGAAAGCCAAACGCATAGAGGTAGCCTCTAAAACTTTGCATAATGATTAGTGTTCGTAAGAGGGGATGAGGAGTGTCATAGGGGGTGTCAGAGTCGACCCCCCATGCCCCTCTTTAAGCAGGTTCGGCTCATATTGCGACTTCTATGAAGTCTATAATTGTCTTTTTATTTCCCACAGAATTTATTGTAAATTTTAAACAGGTGTTAAGATTGCACGTTCTGAGAGAGAGAGAGAGAGAGAGAGAGAGAGAGAGAGAGAGAGAGAGAGAGAGAGAGAGAGAGAGAGAGAGAGAGAGAGAGAGAGAGAGAGAGGGGGGGGGGGATAGAGTGTAGAGTACTGAGGGGAGAAACAGACCCGGGAGACGCCGGTTATCTAGCCATATATGTATGGAGTCATATGTGACATCACACATATATACCAGTAACATCACCAACAATATGTTGACCAGACCACACACTAGAAGGTGAAGGGACGACGACGTTTCGGTCCGTCCTGGCCCAGTTTCAAGTCGACAATCGACTTGAGAATGGTCCAGGACGGACCGAAACGTCGTCGTCCCTTCACCTTCTAGTGTGTGGTCTGATCAATATACTTTAGCCACGTTATTGTGACTCATCGCCTGCATCACCAACAATATCTTCAAGTGTACATACCCAACCCCAATAGTCTGCGTGATCAGATTTACACGCAAACCAGTACAGTTATAGCCTTATAAATTACTAGCAGTACCCGGCCACGCGTTGCTGTGGCTGAGCCACAGCAACCTTCCCTGTCCCCCACTCTTCCCCACCATGCCCTTACTCCCCTGTCCCTTTGTCCTCCCCAACATTCTCATTCCCCCATCACCTCGTCCCCACCATCCCAAACTTCCCCTTCCCCTCGTCCTCCCCACCATTCCCCCCTCCCTCGTCCGAAGCCTTCCCAAATGGTCTGATGTTCCCATCAGAAAATTGGGAACATCAAGAGATCTGATGTTCCCATCACTGAAATATAAGAAAAACAGATAAAAAGTGAAATGAAAATATTTAAAAAATAGAAAAAAAACTATACTCACGAAATAAACAGTATTGTAAACAACACAGCTCAATTCCAACGCAATTCACACAAAATAATTAAATCAAAATGAAAAAATCTATGAAAATTCAATTTATCAATGCAATCAGAAACATTGAAATGGAATTGTAACATATTTAGTATAGCATGTGTGTTGCTCTTACATGCAACAGATGGCGCTGTTTTTCAAGAAAAACATAGTTTTACCTGTCACAGGTGTGGCATCTATACTTATACTCACGAAATGAACGGTATGGTAAACAACACAGCTCAATTCCAACACAATGGCACACAAAATAATTCAATAAAAAATAAAATAAATCGAAATCTATAAAAATAAAATTTATCAATGCAATCGGAAACATTGAAATAGAATTCGTGACATATTTAGTATAGCGTGAACGTTGCTATTATGTGCAACAGATGGCGCTGTTTTTCAAAAACGCATGTTTTTACCTGTCACAGGTGTGGCATCTATATAGTAGGTATATATAAAAAGATGCGCCTATGCGAGTGCCACGTTGTGTCAAAATTTCAAAGCAATCGGTGAAGAACTTTCGAAGATTAGCGGCTACGCACAAGCGAACATTTCCATTTTTATCTATAAATAGAACGCCCACTAGAAAGTAGCTATAATTATCACGTAACTAATCATCAGGATGAATTGGTGAACATTTGACAAACCGCCGGCTACCTGTCCTCGTCGAGGCCACAGAGCACTGTAATGTTTACACAGATCTAGGTACTCTGTCTTGTGTCCCCATGTTCATCGTTATTTGAGTAAACCTACCTGAGTTTACCTGTTGGCCCACCATCTCTCTCTAGTGGCCTCGGCGGGGACACCAAGCCGGCGGGTGCTTCCATTATAATGAGAGACAAGATGGTGACTGACAGATGTAGTAAGGATACATCCAGGTGTGTGAGCAGGTGTGTAGGTGGAGTGGTGGAAGCCATATATACAGGTGTGTTGTCCTAGCCACTAGTACAGATGCTAGGGCCGGCAGGTGTGTACAAGTGGCAACCGTACAGGTGTGTGTTACTAATACAGAGGGTTGTGCCCCCCACAGGTATGCAGGCGGGTGTAGTGATGATGGTGGCGGCTGTTGTGGTTGGGAACGCGGCTGCGTGCTTCATCACCAACTGTCCTCCTGGGGGCAAGAGGTCCTCTTCTTCAGCACAAATTGGTCGTTCCAGGACTGTGAGTATGATCATTAACTACTTCAACACTCATAAACTACTTCAACACACTCATAAACTACTTCAACACACTCATAAACTACTTCAACACTCATAAACTACTTCAACACTCATAAACTACTTCAACACTCATAAACTACTTCAACACACTCATAAACTACTTCAACACTCATAAACTACTTCAACACACTCATAAACTACTTCAACACTCATAAACTACTTCAACACTCATAAACTACTTCAACACTCATAAACTACTTCAACACTCATAAACTACTTCAACACTCTCATACACTACTTCAACACTCATAAACTACTTCAACACTCATAAACTACTTCAACACACTCATAAACTACTTCAACACTCATAAACTACTTCAAAACTCATAAACTACTTCAACACACTCAAAACTACTTCAACACTCATAAACTACTTCAACACTCATAAACTACTTCAACACTCATAAACTACTTCAACACTCATAAACTACTTCAACACTCATAAACTACTTCAACACTCATAAACTACTTCAACACTCATAAACTACTTCAACACACATAAACTACTTCAACACACATAAACTACTTCAACACTCATAAACTACTTCAACACTCATAAACTACTTCAACACTCATAAACTACTTCAACACACTCATAAACTACTTCAACACACTCATAAACTACTTCAACACACTCATAAACTACTTCAACACTTATAAACTACTTCAACACACATAAACTACTTCAACACACTCATAAACTACTTCAACACACTCATAAACTACTTCAACACTTATAAACTACTTCAACACTCATAAACTACTTCAACACTTATAAACTACTTCAACACTCAAACTATTTCAACACTTATAAACTACTTCAACACTCATAAACTACTTCAACACACATAAACTACTTCAACACTCATAAACTACTTCAACACTCATAAACTACTTCAACACACATAAACTACTTCAACACTCATAAACTACTTCAACACACTCATAAACTACTTCAACACTCATAAACTACTTCAACACTCATAAACTACTTCAACACTCATAAACTACTTCAACACTCATAAACTACTTCAACACACTCATAAACTACTTCAACACTCATAAACTACTTCAACACTCATAAACTACTTCAACACTCATAAACTACTTCAACACTCATAAACTACTTCAACACTCATAAACTACTTCAACACTCATAAACTACTTCAACACTCATAAACTACTTCAACACACATAAACTACTTCAACACTCATAAACTACTTCAACACACTCATAAACTACTTCAACACACATAAACTACTTCAACACACATAAACTACTTCAACACTCATAAACTACTTCAACACTTATAAACTACTTCAACACTCAAACTACTTCAACACTTATAAACTACTTCAACACACATAAACTACTTCAACACTCATAAACTACTTCAACACTCATAAACTACTTCAACACTTATAAACTACTTCAACACTCATAAACTACTTCAACACTTATAAACTACTTCAACACTCATAAACTACTTCAACACTCATAAACTACTTCAACACACATAAACTACTTCAACACACTCATAAACTACTTCAACACTCATACACTACTTCAACACACATAAACTACTTCAACACTCATAAACTACTTCAACACTTATAAACTACTTCAACACTCAAACTACTTCAACACTTATAAACTACTTCAACACACATAAACTACTTCAACACTCATAAACTACTTCAACACTCATAAACTACTTCAACACTTATAAACTACTTCAACACTCATAAACTACTTCAACACTTATAAACTACTTCAACACTCATAAACTACTTCAACACTCATAAACTACTTCAACACTTATAAACTACTTCAACACTCATAAACTACTTCAACACTTATAAACTACTTCAACACTCTCATAAACTACTTCAACACACTCATAAACTACTTCAACACTCATACACTACTTCAACACACTCATAAACTACTTCAACACACTCATAAACTACTTCAACACTCATAAACTACTTCAACACACTCATAAACTACTTCAACACTCATAAACTACTTCAACACTCATAAACTACTTCAACACTCATAAACTACTTCAACACTCATAAACTACTTCAACACTCATAAACTACTTCAACACTCATAAACTACTTCAACACTCATAAACTACTTCAACACTCATAAACTACTTCAACACTCATAAACTACTTCAACACTCATAAACTACTTCAACACACATAAACTACTTCAACACTCATAAACTACTTCAACACTCATAAACTACTTCAACACTCATAAACTACTTCAACACTCATAAACTACTTCAACACTCATAAACTACTTCAACACACTCATAAACTACTTCAACACACTCATAAACTACTTCAACACTCATAAACTACTTCAACACTCATAAACTACTTCAACACTCATAAACTACTTCAACACTCATAAACTACTTCAACACTCATAAACTACTTCAACACACATAAACTACTTCAACACACATAAACTACTTCAACACTCATAAACTACTTCAACACACTCATAAACTACTTCAACACTCATAAACTACTTCAACACACATAAACTACTTCAACACTCATAAACTACTTCAACACACTCATAAACTACTTCAACACACATAAACTACTTCAACACACATAAACTACTTCAACACTCATAAACTACTTCAACACTTATAAACTACTTCAACACTCAAACTACTTCAACACTTATAAACTACTTCAACACACATAAACTACTTCAACACTCATAAACTACTTCAACACACATAAACTACTTCAACACTTATAAACTACTTCAACACTCATAAACTACTTCAACACTTATAAACTACTTCAACACTCAAACTACTTCAACACTCATAAACTACTTCAACACACATAAACTACTTCAACACACATAAACTACTTCAACACTCATAAACTACTTCAACACACTCATAAACTACTTCAACACTCATAAACTACTTCAACACTCATAAACTACTTCAACACTCAAACTACTTCAACACTTATAAACTACTTCAACACACATAAACTACTTCAACACTCATAAACTACTTCAACACTCATAAACTACTTCAACACTTATAAACTACTTCAACACTCATAAACTACTTCAACACTTATAAACTACTTCAACACTCATAAACTACTTCAACACTTATAAACTACTTCAACACTCTCATAAACTACTTCAACACACATAAACTACTTCAACACTCATAAACTACTTCAACACACTCATAAACTACTTCAACACTCATAAACTACTTCAACACTCATAAACTACTTCAACACACTCATAAACTACTTCAACACTCATAAACTACTTCAACACTCATAAACTACTTCAACACTCATAAACTACTTCAACACTCATAAACTACTTCAACACTTATAAACTACTTCGACACTCATAAACTACTTCAACACTTATAAACTACTTCAACACTCATAAACTACTTCAACACTCATAAACTACTTCAACACACATAAACTACTTCAACACACTCATAAACTACTTCAACACTCATACACTACTTCAACACACATAAACTACTTCAACACTCATAAACTACTTCAACACTTATAAACTACTTCAACACTCAAACTACTTCAACACTTATAAACTACTTCAACACACATAAACTACTTCAACACTCATAAACTACTTCAACACTCATAAACTACTTCAACACTTATAAACTACTTCAACACTCATAAACTACTTCAACACTTATAAACTACTTCAACACTCATAAACTACTTCAACACTTATAAACTACTTCAACACTCTCATAAACTACTTCAACACACTCATAAACTACTTCAACACTCATACACTACTTCAACACACTCATAAACTACTTCAACACACTCATAAACTACTTCAACACTCATAAACTACTTCAACACTCATAAACTACTTCAACACTCATAAACTACTTCAACACTCATAAACTACTTCAACACTCATAAACTACTTCAACACTCATAAACTACTTCAACACTCATAAACTACTTCAACACTCATAAACTACTTCAACACTCATAAACTACTTCAACACTCATAAACTACTTCAACACTCATAAACTACTTCAACACTCATAAACTACTTCAACACTCATAAACTACTTCAACACTCATAAACTACTTCAACACTCATAAACTACTTCAACACTCATAAACTACTTCAACACTCATAAACTACTTCAACACTCATAAACTACTTCAACACTCATAAACTACTTCTACTTCAACACTCATAAACTACTTCAACACTCATAAACTACTTCAAACACTCATAAACTACTTCAACACTCATAAACTACTTCAACACTCATAAACTACTTCAACACTCATAAACTACTTCAACACTCATAAACTACTTCAAACACTCATACTCATAAACTACTTCAACACACTCATAAACTACTTCAACACTCATAAACTACTTCAACACACTCATAAACTACTTCAACACTCTCATAAACTACTTCAACACACTCATAAACTACTTCAACACTCATACACTACTTCAACACACTCATAAACTACTTCAACACACTCATAAACTACTTCAACACTCATAAACCACTTCAACACACTCATAAACTACTTCAACACTCATAAACTACTTCAACACACTCATAAACTACTTCAACACTCATAAACTACTTCAACACTCATACACTACTTCAACACACTCATAAACTACTTCAACACACTCATAAACTACTTCAACACTCATAAACTACTTCAACACACTCATACACTACTTCAACACTCTCATAAACTACTTCAACACACATAAACTACTTCAACACACTCATAAACTACTTCAACACTCATAAACTACTTCAACACACTCATAAACTACTTCAACACTCATAAACTACTTCAACACACTCATACACTACTTCAACACTCTCATAAACTACTTCAACACACATAAACTACTTCAACACTCATACACTACTTCAACACACTCATAAACTACTTCAACACACATAAACTACTTCAACACACTCATAAACTACTTCAATACACTCATAAACTACTTCAACACTCATAAACTACTTCAACACACTCATAAACTACTTCAACACACTCATAAACTACTTCAACACACATAAACTACTTCAACACACTCATAAACTACTTCAACACACTCATAAACTACTTCAACACACATAAACTACTTCAACACACTCATAAACTACTTCAACACACTCATAAACTACTTCAACACACATAAACTACTTCAACACTCATAAACTACTTCAACACACTCATAAACTACTTCAACACTCATAAACTACTTCAATACTCATAAACTACTTCAACACACTCATAAACTACTTCAACACACATAAACTACTTCAACACTCATAAACTACTTCAACACACTCATAAACTACTTCAACACACATAAACTACTTCAACACACTCATAAACTACTTCAACACACTCATAAACTACTTCAACACACATAAACTACTTCAACACTCATAAACTACTTCAACACACTCATAAACTACTTCAACACTCATAAACTACTTCAACACACTCATAAACTACTTCAACACTCATAAACTACTTCAACACTCATAAACTACTTCAACACACATAAACTACTTCAACACTCATAAACTACTTCAACACACTCATAAACTACTTCAACACTCATAAACTACTTCAATACTCATAAACTACTTCAACACACTCATAAACTACTTCAACACACATAAACTACTTCAACACACATAAACAACTTCAACACTCATAAACTACTTCAACACACTCATAAACTACTTCAACACTCATAAACTACTTCAATACTCATAAACTACTTCAACACACTCATAAACTACTTCAACACACATAAACTACTTCAACACACATAAACTACTACAACAGGTGTGTGTGTAACACTGCAGGGAGGTTTGGAGCAGTGTAAAGGTTAATACACATAACCTATCCTTGCAGTGTACCTCGTGTGGACCAGGACTCCGGGGGCGCTGTTTGGGGCCAGAGATCTGCTGTGGGCCCGGGATCGGCTGCTTCATGGGGACCCGGGAGGCCAGGATGTGCCGCGCCGAGAACCTGGTGCCTGTAACCTGCGCTAACACAGACCTGAACACCTGCGGCAGGCTGCGGGGAGGACGCTGTGCCGCTTCAGGACTCTGCTGCACAGAAAGTATGAAGTTACTCCACAGTGAACTCACAGTAGCGTGATATAGCTATGATTTTTTCTTTGGAGACGGGCAATGTTTACCCCCAGCACACCGCGGACCAGGCTGCGTGTCGGGGGGCACCCGGGACGCTGGGGTCTCGTACCCTAACCTTGCTCCAGAGATTTTCTCTAGGACTGTGTACTGTCTTCATGCACAGTGGCTGGGACTGTGTACTCTCCTCATGCACAGTGGCTGGGACTGTGTACTGTCCTCATGCACAGTGGCTGGGACTGTGTACTCTCCTCCTGCACAGTGGCTGGGACTGTGTACTGTCTTCATGCACAGTGGCTGGCACTGTGTACTCTCCTGGTGCACAGTGGCTAGGACTGTGTACTGTCTTCATGCACAGTGGCTGGGACTGTGTACTGTCTTCATGTACAGTGGCTGGGACTGTGTACTCTCCTGCACAGTGGCTAGGACTGTGTACTGTCTTCATGCACAGTGGCTGGGACTGTGTACTCTCCTCATGCACAGTGGCTGGGACTGTGTACTGTCTTCATGCACAGTGGCTGGGACTGTGTACTGTCCTCATGCACAGTGGCTAGGACTGTGTACTGTCCTCATGCACAGTGGCTAGGACTGTGTACTGTCTTCATGCACAGTGGCTGGGACTGTGTACTGTCTTCATGCACAGTGGCTAGGACTGTGTACTGTCCTCATGCACAGTGGCTGGGACTGTGTACTCTCCTGGTGCACAGTGGCTGGGACTGTGTACTCTCCTGCACAGTGGCTGGGGCTGTGTACTCTCCTCCTGCACAGTGGCTGGTACTGTGTACTCTCCTCCTGCACAGTGGCTGGGACTGTGTACTGTCCTCATGCACAGTGACTAGAACTGTGTACTCTCCTCCTGCACAGTGGCTAGGACTGTGTACTGTCTTCATGCACAGTGGCTGGGACTGTGTACTCTCCTCCTGCACAGTGGCTAGGACTGTGTACTGTCTTCATGCACAGTGGCTGGGACTGTGTACTGTCCTCATGCACAGTGGCTGGGACTGTGTACTGTCTTCATGCACAGTGGCTGGGACTGTGTACTCTCCCTGTGCACAGTGGCTGGGACTGTGTACTCTCCTGGTGCACAGTGGCTGCACTGTGTACTCTCCTGGTGCACAGTGGCTGGGACTGTGTACTCTCCTGGTGCACAGTGGCTGGCACTGTGTACTCTCCTGGTGCACAGTGGCTGGGACTGTGTACTCTCCTGGTGCACAGTGGCTGGGACTGTGTACTCTCCTGCACAGTGGCTGGCACTGTGTACTCTCCTCTTGCACAGTGGCTGGGATTGTGTACTCTCCTCCTGCACAGTGGCTGGCACTGTGTACTCTCCTGCACAGTGGCTGGGATTGTGTACTCTCCTCTTGCACAGTGGCTGGGACTGTGTACTCTCCTCCTGCACAGTGGCTGGGACTGTGTACTGTCCTCATGCACAGTGACTGGAACTGTGTACTCTCCTCCTGCACAGTGGCTAGGACTGTGTACTGTCTTCATGCACAGTGGCTGGGACTGTGTACTCTCCTCCTGCACAGTGGCTAGGACTGTGTACTGTCTTCATGCACAGTGGCTGGGACTGTGTACTGTCCTCATGCACAGTGGCTGGGACTGTGTACTGTCTTCATGCACAGTGGCTGGGACTGTGTACTCTCCTCCTGCACAGTGGCTGGTACTGTGTACTCTCCTCCTGCACAGTGGCTGGGACTGTGTACTGTCCTCATGCACAGTGACTAGAACTGTGTACTCTCCTCCTGCACAGTGGCTGGCACTGTGTACTCTCCTTGTGCACAGTGGCTGGGACTGTGTACTCTCCTGGTGCACAGTGGCTGCACTGTGTACTCTCCTGGTGCACAGTGGCTGGGACTGTGTACTCTCCTGGTGCACAGTGGCTGGCACTGTGTACTCTCCTCCTGCACAGTGGCTGGGATTGTGTACTCTCCTCCTGCACAGTGGCTGGGACTGTGTACTCTCCTGCACAGTGGCTGGAACTGTGTACTCTCCTCCTGCACAGTGGCTGGGACTGTGCACTGTCCTCATGCGCAGTGGCTGGGACTGTGTACTCTCCTCCTGCACAGTGGCTGGGACTGTGTACTCTCCTCCTGCACAGTGGCTGGGACTGTGTACTGTCCTCCTGCACAGTGGCTGGGACTGTGTACTCTCCTCCTGCACAGTGGCTGGGACTGTGTACTCTCCTCCTGCACAGTGGCTGGCACTGTGTACTCTCCTGGTGCACAGTGGCTGGCACTGTGTACTCTCCTGGTGCACAGTGGCTGGGACTGTGTACTCTCCTGGTGCACAGTGGCTGGGACTGTGTACTCTCCTGGTGCACAGTGGCTGGCACTGTGTACTCTCCTCCTGCACAGTGGCTGGGACTGTGTACTCTCCTGGTGCACAGTGGCTGGGACTGTGTACTCTCCTCCTGCACAGTGGCTGGGACTGTGTACTCTCCTGGTGCACAGTGGCTGGGACTGTGTACTCTCCTCCTGCACAGTGGCTGGGACTGTGTACTCTCCTCCTGCACAGTGGCTAGGACTGTGTACTCTCCTCCTGCACAGTGGCTGGGACTGTGTACTCTCCTCCTGCACAGTGGCTGGGACTGTGTACTCTCCTGCACAGTGGCTGGCACTGTGTACTCTCCTGCACAGTGGCTGGCACTGTGTACTCTCCTGCACAGTGGCTGGCACTGTGTACTCTCCTGCACAGTGGCTGGGACTGTGTACTCTCCTGCACAGTGGCTGGCACTGTGTACTCTCCTGCACAGTGGCTGGGACTGTGTACTCTCCTGCACAGTGGCTGGCACTGTGTACTCTCCTGCACAGTGGCTGGGACTGTGTACTCTCCTGCACAGTGGCTGGGGCTGTGTACTCTCCTCCTGCACAGTGGCTGGCACTGTGTACTCTCCTCCTGCACAGTGGCTGGCACTGTGTACTCTCCTCCTGCACAGTGGCTGGGACTGTGTACTCTCCTCCTGCACAGTGGCTGGCACTGTGTACTCTCCTCCTGCACAGTGGCTGGCACTGTGTACTCTCCTGCACAGTGGCTGGCACTGTGTACTCTCCTCCTGCACAGTGGCTGGCACTGTGTACTCTCCTGCACAGTGGCTGGCACTGTGTACTCTCCTCCTGCACAGTGGCTGGCACTGTGTACTCTCCTGCACAGTGGCTGGCACTGTGTACTCTCCTGCACAGTGGCTGGCACTGTGTACTCTCCTAAAATGTTCTTTCATTCAAGAATACTGTTCTTTTAAGCAGAACAACAACAGAAACTACATTAAATATACTATAGCCATGATTATACTGCCAACTGCAAGTCCCTCTTTTCTTGGGAGCTCTTTTCTCCCTCTCCACAACAAACTGACTAACTCCTGAGTACCTACTTACTGCTAGGTGAACAGCTGCATAAGATGAAAGGAAATGTGCCCAATCGTTTCTGTCCCGCCTGGGATTCGAACCCGGAATTTTCTGTATTATGCGTCAAGAACCCGACTGTATTTCCGGGACCCGAATTACGTCCGGACGCTTGACTGTCAGAACCGTTGAAGCGAGGCGTTCTAATTGTATTCTATTCCACTACAATCATAGAACATACAGCAACTGTCAAACTACTGTATTATGAACAAATCCACATTTGTTCATTTGATACATCATGCTATTGTGGTTTGTGTGTGTAGTGTTACTATATAATTATAAACGCACAAAACTCGATAGTTGGTCCTCAAAAAGTTTCCGTTTTCTATTATTGAATTAGCCCAAATGTCACACTAAAGAAAACGGAGAAGTAACTGATTTTAACTGACCATACCTGTGCATACAATCCTAGGCCTATTACGGTCTATTACTATTACTGTACACTGTGGTGTAACTTGTTCTAGTGATGTACACTGTGGTGTAACTTGTTTTAGTGGTGTACACTGTGGTGTAACTTGTTCTAGTGGTGTACACTGTGGTGTAACTTGTTCTAGTGGTGTACACTGTGGTGTAACTTGTTCTAGTGGTGTACACTGTGGTGTAACTTGTTCTAGTGGTGTACACTGTGGTGTAACTTGTTTTAGTGGTGTACACTGTGGTGTAACTTGTTTTAGTGGTGTACACTGTGGTGTAACTTGTTCTAGTGGAGTACACTGTGGTGTAACTTGTTCTAGTGGTGTACACTGTGGTGTAACTTGTTCTAGTGGTGTACACTGTGGTGTAACTTGTTCTAGTGGTGTACACTGTGGTGTAACTTGTTCTAGTGGTGTACACTGTGGTGTAACTTGTTCTAGTGGTGTACACTGTGGTGTAACTTGTTCTAGTGGTGTACACTGTGGTGTAACTTGTTCTAGTGGTGTATACTGTGGTGTAACTTGTTCTAGTGGTGTACACTGTGGTGTAACTTGTTCTAGTGGTGTACACTGTGGTGTAACTTGTTCTAGTGGTGTACACTGTGGTGTAACTTGTTCTAGTGGTGTACACTGTGGTGTAACTTGTTCTAGTGGTGTACACTGTGGTGTAACTTGTTCTAGTGGTGTACACTGTGGTGTAACTTGTTCTAGTGGTGTACACTGTGGTGTAACTTGTTCTAGTGATGTACACTGTGGTGTAACTTGTTCTAGTGGTGTACAGAGTCGTGTAACTTGTTCTCGTGGAGTACAGTGTAGTGTTAGTTGTTAACGCATGTTATAGATCACCTAGTTATACATGCGGGGGGTTGAGCTTCGGCTCTTTGGTCCCACCTCTCAACCGTAAATCAACTAGTGAACATACTCCTGAGCCTATTGGGCTATATCATATCTACATTTGAAACTGTGTATGGAGTCAGTCTCCACCGGTCTGGTCTGGTCAGAGACCGGGCCACGGTGTCGTTGATCCCCGAAAACAAGACAAGGTAGCAAGGTAACCACCACATCACTTCCTAATGCAGTTCAATTATTAACTCTGGCACTGAAAAGTTTCTTTCAAGTGTCTCTTTAGCTCACTTGGGTTCTCAGTTTCCACCTGTGTTCCCCTTGTGTGAACCACTTGTGTTAGATAATGTGTCCTTATCTACCCTGTCAAGTCCCCTTGAGAATTATGTATGTGGTAATCATGTCTCCAGCGATGTTAGGTTTAGTTCATGTAGCCTTTCCTCGTAACTCATACCTTGTAGTTCTGGGACTAGTCTAGTTGCATACCTTTAAACCTTCCCACAGATTCGTCTTATGCTCGACTAAGTATGGATTCCACACTGGAGCCGCATACTCCAGGATTGGTCTCACGTATGTGGGAGACAAGGTTCTGAATGACTCCTTACACAAATTTGTGAAGACAATTCTGATGTTAGCCAGTCTCACATTCTCCGCTGATGATATCTTTTTGATGTGGGCTTCAGGAGACAGGTTTGGTGTGATATCAACTCCTAGATCTTTCTCTCTCTCCGTTTCATCGAGGACTTTGTCTCCCATTTGGTACCTTGAAACAAATGGGCAAAGTTTCTTTCACCCTGAATGCCCCTGTTACCTAGCAGTAAATAGGTACCTGGGTGTTAGTCAGCTGTCACGGGCTGCTTCCTGGGGGTGGAGGCCTGGTCAAGGACCGGGCCACGGGGACGCTAAAGCCCCGAAATCAACTCAAGATAACCTCAAGATAACCTTGTATCTGACTTCCTTCTCCCTCCACCTAGCTTTATTACTTTACATTTACTTGGGTTAAATTCTAGCAGCCATTTCTTGTACTATACTTTCAGTTCGTCCAGGTCATCTTGTAGCCTCTTGTTATCTTCCTCTCTCTCTCTCTCTTAATCCTCATTATTTTTTAAGCATCATCGAACTTTGAAAAGACTTATTCAATTCCCAAGATTGAAGATCTTTACGTATATGAGAAATAGGATTGGTCCGAGAATTGAACCTTGCGGGACTCCGCTGGTGACGCCTCGCCAATCTGAGACCTCTTCTCTCACGGCGACTCGCTGTCTTCTGTTGCTCAGGTACTCCCTTATGCAGTGGAGTACCTTTCCTGTCGTTCTTTCATGCCTCTCCAGCTTGTGTACTAGTACTTGTGTACTCTTATGTACTCTTGTAGCACTGTGTACTCTTGTGTACTCTTGTGTAGCACTGTGTCAAAGGCTTTCTGGCAATCCAAACATATTCAGTCTGCCCACTCTTCTCTTTCTTGTCTAATTTGTGTCACCTGGTCATAGAATTCTATTAATCTTGTAAGGCAAGATTTGCCATCCCTGAACCCATGCTGGTGGTGTGGTACAAAGTTCTTTCTCTACAGATGTACTACTAGTTCTTGCTCATAATCTTCTTCATCATTTTGTATGCAAGTTAAGAACACTGGGATGAGGTTGTGTCTGACTCCCTTCTTGGATATCGGTACTAAATTTGCTGTCTTTCAAGTTTTTGGTAGTTCTCTAGTTACCAGTGACCAGTACACCACAGAAATTGGTAAACAGTGTTTTTTTTTTTTTGAGATATATACAAGAGTTGTTACATTCTTGTACAGCCACTAGTACGCGTAGCGTTTCGGGCAAGTCCTTAATCCTATGGTCCCTGGAATACGATCCCCTGCCGCGAAGAATCGTTTTTTCATCCAAGTACACATTTTACTGTTGCGTTAAACAGAGGCTACAGTTAAGGAATTGCGCCCAGTAAATCCTCCCCGGCCAGGATACGAACCCATGACATAGCGCTCGCGGAACGCCAGGCGAGTGTCTTACCACTACACCACGGAGACTGCTACTTCTGCTTCTTTCTTTTAGTATCCGTAGTGAGGATTTCATCTGGACAAACAGTCTTTGTCACGTGCAGGTCCTGGAGATCATTTCTTACCTCACCAACGCTACTACCAAATTTCTCCAGTGATTCCTTGTTTAACGACACCTCTCTTAGTTCAAGGACTTCCACTCCCTTTACTGTGAAGACCTCTTCTAACCTATTGAGCTCACACACACCTTTTCATTCTAGGTGAGCTTGTCCCCTCCTTTCCTCAGTTTCAGTACCAGTGTCATCACTGTTGTTTTCCTTCTTATAGTGGTTGTGAAGCAGTTTGGGTTGGGTCTTTGTTTTATTTATGTTGTGTTCTCTGCCCTTCTTCTCACACAGACGTACTCATTCCTGGCCCTCAGGTATATTCCTCTGCTCTCTGGTCTCATGTTATTCCTGTAGTTTCTCCACGTTCTTGAACTGTGTTGCTCTGCCACATTACGTCACTGATTAAACCATGGGTACTTACTTTGCATTTAATGTGTCCCTTTCTGGCCGGGACAAACTTGTCTGCTTCCTCCTTGCACTTCTGGGTGACGTAGTCCATCCGGTCTTGTCCATTCTTTCCTCTGAGTTCTGTTACTCAAGGAACTTCTGTTAGGTATTTTCTTACCTCCTCGTAGTTTCTCTTATGACATGGCAGCCTTTTGTTTTCTGATCCCATCCCTGGGTCGGGTAATCCTACTTACACCAGATTTTCAAATGTCAGGACACTGAGGTCACTCATTCCCGAGGGGGCTTCTGGTTTGACTTCCCTGAAGTCTGGTTCAGAGTGAATATCAGGTCAAGTTTTGCTGGTTAATCATCCCCTGGTATACTGATAAGTTGGATATTCATAACTTATGATTACGTTTCTTGGTGTGAGGTGTAACTTGTTCATATGGTCGACAGTGTTGTTCACGTGTTATACAGTGTGTGGTGTAACTTGTTCAGGTGTTATACAGTGTGTGGTGTAACTTGTTCAGGTGTTATACAGTGTGTGGTGTAACTTGTTCAGGTGTTATACAGTGTGTGGTGTAACTTGTTCAGGTGTTATACAGTGTGTGGTGTAACTTGTTCAGGTGTTATACAGTGTGTGGTGTAACTTGTTCACTTTTCTACAGTGTTATGTACTTTTTCGTGTGTTCTACAGTGAAGTGTGAATTCGACGGGAGTTGTGTGGATGGTGGCGAGGGGAGTCTTGAAGACCAGCAGACGGAGAGACAACGCTTTGCCCTCCTTCCCAACCTGTCGGACGACCAGTGGAGTCTCTGATCCCGCCCTCACTGCTACTGGACACTATATCCCGCCCCAAAGGACTAGCAGAGCCCGGGATCCAGACCCTGACAACCAGTGGACTATATCCCGCTTCCAAGGATTAGCAGAGCCTGGGATCCCACCCTGCTAGTGGACTCGTATATCCTGCCCCTACGGAGGACTAACAGAACCTGGGATACTGACTGCTACTGGACTCAACATCCCGCTCTGAAGGACTAGTGGAGCCTGGGCCTAGTCCTCTCCGCCCTCGAAGTATCCTCACACACACACACAGCTCCGCCACCAACGCCCTCAGACAATGGTGGTAGAACCAAGTCATTGTTTACGTCTTACATTGTAAGAGTGTGGTAGAAAACGTCGGGAATTCAGCCCTAACTCAACTATATGTATGCATTAAATTATTACCAAGAGGAAACTGACTTATAGCCGCCAAAATATAAGTTGTATAATTTGACCATGTAATATTTACATGACCCACAAACTAAGATATGAGAATCATATATAAGGTGAGGACTCAAGGAGTTGGATCTCTCTGTTTAGAACAAACATATTCACTTATGAATAATCCATCTTGACTCTAAACCGATGATATCACTGAACCATGAAATAAAATATACAGTATTTATTCTCCTTGTTTCTTTGCATTTGCCATCAAGTCGTGCAAACCCTTGACGCTAACTACTGCTCAACCAACCTGTCATCCTAGAAAGAACGTCGCTTCTCGATCTATTCGTTACAAAAATTGTCGTGCTAGAAAATGAAAGCGACTCGCGAAAGCGACCTACTGTCCCGTTTTCTGTTTCGGGTCCTCTGGTAGGTTAGGAGACAATTCTTTAAATTGACTGTTTTCTTGACGCTGGGAAATCTTCGGAGGACGGGCTAACTATGAGACCTACACTGAATGATGATTCCATAGTCAGTCAGTCAGTCAGTCGGTGAGGGCGTCGGCCTGCCGAGCCTAGTGGTCTGATCTGGGGAAAACCATTACTCAGTTAAGAATAAAATAGTTTAGATAATCTCCAGCTGTTGTCTAGGCCAATTCTGATTCTGAGGGCCGCCATCTGTCTAGTGGCCACGAAGGGGACAGGAAGCCCGTGGCTTGTCAAGGGTTTTTCCCACCCCAGTGTTCGTGAGGCGAATGGTTAATGAACATTGTAATATCATTAAAGAGGTGAATCATTAAAAGTTATAAACATTAATACTTAGCATTTTATAAAATAAAATATTATCACAAAAATGAATAAGCAAATATAAACCAAAAATATTATACTTAAAAACAAGACAAAATCTAAACAAGCCTAGGCCTTCTACCATGATGGCCTATGAAAACTTTGCACCAATTTGATAGGGTTTTACGAAGTCCCCTTAGGCCTAGGCCAGCTATCCTGACCATGGCCAGCATCCTTGACATCCTGGGACCTTCTGCCTGCTAGGTGATGGTACTCACATCGGGGTGTAAGGCAATGTGGCCCAAACGCTTCTGGTCCTCCCAGGATGACACCCACCACAATGTCTTTGTGGACAAACAGCACAGAGCCACAGTATCCAGTGCTATTACTAAACATGTATTAAAGCAGCACTAAAATATACTCTGTTTGGTAAACAATGAATAGAAATCACTTAATATACAGAAAAAACATCAGAGTACAGAAAGAGACAGATGGCATCCCCCCCCTCACCGTCCTCGTACAGGGTCGCTGTCTACCCCTCACTGGCCAGTAGTAGTAAGGGTGAAGCCTTAGCGACGATATTTGTTTTTTTTGGAATATAGTCGCTAATGCTTCAGGGTTTCCAGGTAAATTTTGTTGGTTATCGCTGCGTCGTATGGACGATTTTTTTAGGGGGGGAGAGGGTGCTAGAAAATAGACGCCATATGGACGATTTTTTGCTTTGACTTGACAGAGATCCATTTCCAGACTGATTTTCATCAGAGTTCAGTAAAAGACGGAAATAATTTCAGAGACCAAAATATTGTCAGAGGCTATTTATGACCGAAAATATGACGGAGTCCATTTAAGACCAAAATTAGTCAGAGTCCATTTTAAGACCTAAATATTTTAGTTTTACTTACACCTGCATTCTTAAAAAGAGTTCTTATGGAGGAAATTCAAATATTGTCAGAGTCCACTTTAAGACCGAAATTTATCAGAGTCCAGTTTGAGACCAAAATTTGTCAGAGACCGCATTTACAAGTGCATTTTTGCTACTAATAGCCCAATTTTAGCCCAATTTTAAACAGTCATATTTCAGACACAGTACAATAAATAAAAACAATTACTGAACTCTAGTTCATGTCACTGCTTTAGACCCTGTTGTAGCTTCAATACTAAAAGTCTAATCTTCCTGAAATTTAGGACTGCTATATTTCAGACGTAGTACAATACAATAATTTAGTTACCAAACTCTAGTTCTTGTTCCCACCTTAGTTCCCTCTCGTATCTTCTTTAGTATCTAACCAAATCCATTGAGATTTAAAACATAGTTATTTCAGATGTAGTAAAATAGATCCAAATAGTTATCGAACTCTAGCTCCTGTTCTCCGCCTTAGATTACTCCTGTAAATTCACTACTAACAGTTCAATCCCCCTGTAATTTAAACCCGTTACGTTCCTATCTTATTAAAATAAATTAAAAACATTATCCAAGTTTAAGCTCTTGTCCTCCGCCTTAGTTTACTCCTGTAAGTTAATTATTGCTAGCCCAAATCCCCTGAGATTTCAAAACCCAACTACATTTCAGACCTTGTAAAATAAATCAAAAGCAAATTATCGAGCTCCAATTCTCGTCCTCCGCCTTAGTTCATCAAACTAAATTATTTCAGATCAAGACGCTCTCCAGCCTATCACCTTTATCAAAATTAAATATATCCTCTCCGTCAATATGCTTGTTTACACGGTAATAAAAATCACACGGTCATATCGCACCTTTCCTTCAATACCCTTTGTTTACTCAGCTATGTAAATAATCATTCACATGATAATAAAACTCACATGGTCATAGTGCGCCTTACCTCTTCTTCCCATCTTCCTCCTTATAATAAATAATAAATGTTTATTCAGGTAAAGTACATACATACAAGAGGTTTTACAAAAATTGATAGATTTATAGATAGAACTAGTACATACAATGCCTAAAGCCACTATTACGCGAAGCGTTTCGGGCAGGAAATCTTCCCCATCTTATCTTACCCACCCCCCTAAACCCCTTATTCTGTGCACCCATTCGCTCACTTATCTCCCTCTTTCCCCTCCTATCTCTCCTTCCCCCTTACCCCACAAATGTCCCGCCCTCCACACCTTACTCCTTCCATACCCCCCTCTCTCCTCCATTTCCTGACCCCATCCTCTCCTATCTCCATCACCCCTTTTCTTCCCCCTCCCTTACCCCCCCCCCTACTCCTGTGCATCTTACCTATTCCCCAACTTCACCCAAACCTCCCTCCCTCCCCATAATTTAAAGAAATACAGCTTTTATACTCATTATTCATGTTCACTCCATGTTCTGCAAATGTTCATCGCGTGGTCTCTGTGCAACGTTTATACTCACTATTCATGTTTTCTGCGTGTTCAAATCATATTTTTCACCTGTTTCTACGTGTTCTTTGTCATATTCTCCATGTTTTCTGTGTTCTTTATCATGTTCTCATAATGTTCTTAGCATATTCTTCACAAGTTCATTGCTCATTCTTTGTTATGTTTTCTGTGTTCTTTGTCATGCTCCCCGCATGCTCACTGTGTTATCGCATTCTCTTGCATGTTCTTTAAAATCAAGTGTATAATTAATTTCTGCCGTTCAGTACAAATTTACCCAGACAAAATTTTCTTGTTGTTTTAGCTAAAAGTATTCGTCAATTAACTGAAAATAGTCAGGAGTAACCTCGTTCAACACTTGTTCTTAATTAAAATAACTTTTTCCTCTTATCTAAAAATAGTCAAAGGAAACGTTCCAACACTGTTCATAACTAACTTTATCCATCGTCATTCAACTAAAAATAGCCACGTTCATCATTTCTTAACTGAAATAATCATTCTCTTAGCTAAAAATAGTCAAAATGTAACTTCTTTCAACACTATTCTTAACTAAAATAACACTTCTCTTCGCTGAAAATAGTCAAATGTAACTTCGTTCAGCACTTTAACTAACATTATTCCTCGTGTAGTAAGAAAAATAGTCAAAAACACTCTTGGAGACATCAAGGACACACCCAAGGACATCAATGATACACTGAAACACATCAATAACGCACTCAAAGACATCAAAGACATCAATAACGCACTCAGACATAAAAAATACTACTCATGTCCTCAAACGTTATTCTCAGAGTCATCATAAGTTATTCTCAGAGACATCAAAAGTTAATCTCAGTCATCAAAGCTATTCTCTAAGTCGCATTCATGCATAAAAGCTATTCTCTAACTCACCTTCATTCATCAAAGTTGTTCTCTAACTCTCTTTCAGTCATCAAAGTTGATCTCTAAGACATTAATGTTGTTCTGTAAGACATCTTCAGCATTAAATAACACTCCCAAATGTAACTAGTTCAGCTTTTCATATCAAACTTACACTTCTGTTAAAATATATTTTCTTAGTCACTTTATCTTAAAACTGTTCTCTGATCAACAATGCATCATCCTATCTAACCTAACCAATTCTAACCAATTCCTCCCCTACCTGATGTAACTTAAGTAATCAAACTTACCTACCCTAACCTAACCAAACCAAACCTAAGCTTACCTTACTAAACTTAACTTACTTAACCTAACCTAACTTAACTAACCTAACCTTACCTTACTAAACTTAACTTACCTAACCTATCCTAACTAAACGTAACTTACCTAATCTAACTTAACTTACATAAAGTGGGGAAATCTGGCTCTAATTTAATTCTAATAAATGTATAATTCTATGAATGCAACTAAAGATTAAATCTAAGATAGCTCGAAGGACCATAAAATATGTTAAGTGAGAGAACCAGTGGCATATGGACCTCTATGATTATAGGTAATTAAATTCTATGATTCTATTCTGCAGTGAATAAATTCTATACATGCTAGAACCAGCTTCCCATGACACATTTTAGGGGATCTTCTATGAGGTTAGTCTACGTGAAACATATTTTATATGATTATAATAATGATAATATGCATACATATAGATTAAATAAAATGTAATGCAAAAAATATTACTGCACGATAAATATTAATGATAAATAATCAGCGCAATATAGTATGTATGTATGATTTTTACACTGAGAGAGAACTATCTACAATAACAACTAATTAAATCTCAGCTGTGACAGAGGAAGGTAGTTGATTGACGTCCAATCTCTACAACAGTCTGGAGTCAGCTCTGAGATAATTTATTTATTTATATACAAGAAGGTACATTGGGTTTGTGAGAATACATAGAATACGTATTTACAATCTTGTAAAGCCACTAGTACGCGCAACATTTCAGGCACAAATGCAGAAAATAATGATCCTTGAAGCACGTCATCGTGGTGTACTTTGCTACTCCAGCTGAAATGTAAGTATTATATTAATTCCACTGCAAAACCCTAGAATCATTCACTTAATAGTAAATTCTAAATGGATCTGGGGACCAGCCGGACACTTACGTAGGTTT